GCGCGCGCTCGTGTGTGGAAGAAACCAACGGTCCACGTCGGTGTCCATCTTTTGAAAATGCCCATCGCTGCGGGCTGGGAATGTGCCGATCAGCTCCCCGTGCGCTCCGGCATACAGCACCCAGCCACCCCGGGGCTCAGAAACAGCAGGGCTTCACCCGGAACCCCAGACCTGCAGGCGTCCTACCCGCGAAGGACACCCCACACCCAGGCTCGCCGCGATGGTAGAGCCCGGCGCTACGTCACCCATTGTTTACAAATCAACCCAAGCCGGTAGGATTCCGGCTCCCGCGGCTGCTGGCGCGCGGCGAGCGCCTGGCTGGCTCCGGCTTCCGTGTCGGCCCCGGCCGGGGCTTCGGCCTCAGGACTGCGCTGAGCTCTGCGGCGGCCCACCGAACCCAGACCGGGAGCCAGAAACTCCCGGTCAGCGACACCCACAGAGCTCCGGGTGCCGAGGCGGAGGGCCATGCCGTGCCGGAAGGAAGAGGAAGGGGAAGCCGACGAGGAAGCGGAGGGGGAGGAAGAGGAGGAGGACGACAGCTTCCTCCTGCTGGAGCAGTCGGTGACGCTGGGCGGATCGGGCGAGGTGGACCGGCTGGTGGCTCAGATCGGCGAGGCGCTGCAGCTGGACACGGCGCGGGACAGCCCGGCCTCCCCGTGCGCGCCTCCCGGGCCGCCTCTGCAGTCCCCCCGGCGCCCCGCACCGGTGCCAGTGGACAAGGCCCGGCCCCGGGCTCTGTCTCTGCTTCGGCCGCCCTCCGAGACAGCAGGCCCGGGAGCCCTGCGCTGCACCCTCGGGGACCGCGGCCGCGTGCGGGACCGGGCTGCGCCCTACTGTGTGGCCGAACTCGCAGCCGGCCCCACGGCGCTGTCCCCCCAGCCTGGCTTTGATGGGCCTCCGGGATCCTGCAAGCCCGGAGCCCCGCGGCCGCTATTCGGCCCGTGCCGACGAGGATGGCTCCGAGGTGCCGCGGCCTCCCGCCGCCTCCAGCAGCGTCGCGGGCCGGAGTCCGAAGCCCTCACCAGCGACGACGACCCGCAGCGGCTCCTGCAACAGCTCGTGCTCTCGGGGAACCTCATCAAGGAGGCAGTGCGGAGGCTCCACTCGCGACGGCTGCATTTCCACTCAAAGCTTCCCCAGTGCCCGCTCCTGGGACCTGTGTCTGCGGCCCACGCTCATAAGCCCCCTTCTCCTCTCAGCCCTCGCGCGGCCTCTAATGACCCTGGCGCGCCCAGGAGGAGCGCACAGCTCACAGCTCCCGACTGCGTGCTCATCCCAGGCAGCTAACACGCCCAGGGTGCCCACAGCGCCAGCCTGACTGAGGGTTAGGGGTGCCCTGGGGGCTGCAGCCCTGCTCAAGGCCGGCGGAGAACTAGCGCCTTTGAACGCGGGAGAAACAAGCTAATGAACACGAGGAATCTAAAAATCGCAAAGGTTTCCGCGGAGAGCTGGGGCGAACGCCCCTCTTTGTTTGAAATACAGGTCTTGGCCCTATTTAAGGCAGATTACCATTCACCCCCGAGCTCACAGTCCCTAATAAGACCCGTACCGGCGGCGGCTCGGCGTGCAGTTGCTTGCAGCTTCTCAGGGCCCTCCAGCCTGGTGGCCATGTGACCACGGTCCACCCTTCTCACGACCGCAGGACCCGGGTGCGGACGCCCTCTTCACGAGTCCAGCCGCCTCCCTGGGCTCAGGCTGGAAGACTATGCTAATTATCTGATTTACCTTTTCAGGGCTGGTTCCTGATCCATTTGGGGGGAGGGGAACTGCCAGACCTGAAAATTTACATTTTAAACAAAACAGCTCATGTTTTATGAGGTGCTCATTCTTAATATAAAACGCACGTACCATGAAAGGAACTTTGGGGGATTCTCTCTGCCCCATCTTTGCAACCCGCTGCTATTTTCAAAGCCTTCGGAAAAAAGCTGTACACCTAGGATGGGAGTACCGTGGAGCGGGGACAGGAGGTGTGGAGTGGTGGAAAGGTAGGGTGAGGCGCGGAGTGACCCGCTGGCCTCTATAAAGTGGCTTTTAACAGCCGCCCCGCCCCTCGGGTTCAAGGTCAGTTTCCCGGGCTCACGTAGGGTTGCGGGGCGGGATCTGCTTGCACTGCGAGCAGAGCGCTGTGTTTTGCAATTGTTGGAGTCTCCTGAGGACACGCGCGCCTCCGCCACCGCGGGTTGTAGGAAGGCGGGGCCGTGCGGAGCGCCTGTGCTTCCCGCGGGCGGTCGCCGCCCCTGGACACACTCTGGGCTGTCACCCACACTGTCCTGAGACGTGCCTCTGGGTCCCTCCTCTGCTCCTCAGCTCTGCTGTCCTACTCAAGAGGGTGGCTCTGGCGTTCCTAGGGGCCCAGGCTGGGGACTGGAGAGATGCCACGTGACAGCCACTCCAGGGACACACAGCCTCGCACAGCGGCTTATAATGGGCTCTCCGGGGCCATTTGCAATAACAGCTGCAATTCCCTGGATAGTCGGAGTTGATTTCCTCCCTCTACCCCTCCCCCAGCCATGCCCGCTCGCCTTTGTAAGTGAAAGAAACCGAGGAGAAAATAAGACCCTCCAAACAGAAGCCGCAGGCTTTGCCTTTGTGAATCGTGGTGAAGTGCTTGAAGCACGCCGCCCGCTCACTCTGAGGGAGCTAAAACCACCTTGTTCTTGTTTTAGTTTTGTAAGATTCAATGGCTTGTCCATCATCCAGATGTGGCTATTGACAACATATCTACACTTCGTACCGGAGTGTCTGGAATTATGACTGTCCTGATTACAGGATCTCATCTTAAATACGTTTTGAATAAATGTGTTGGGTTTTTTGTTTGGTTTTATCCTTGCCATCAGTGTGGAAGATGTACAGAACACATTTATGTGATGTTTATAAACACTAGAACACCTGAAATCCCTGTCAGCCTGGCTTTGCAGATGGTAATTAGAGTGCCTTTGTGTCTGAGGTGCTCACTAGTTAGACAAGGACTGCGGCTGGGTGTGGATTGGTCCTAGCATGAAATTAGATGAAAGTGAGGACAGGTTTTGGAACAGTCCCCATTCACCCAAACCTCAGAGTCATTTCCATTACTAGTTAGTACTGGAGGCTTTACAAAGTGCCTCTGACTGTATTAGCAAAGGACATCAGTCATGGCAGACTGGGAAACGTATAACTTTTTCTTCCTACTGTGTTCATTAAAGGAGTCTCTGGGTGGTACAAATGAAGTGCTGGACAGCTAACTGAAAGGTGGTTTGAAACCTACACAGACACCTTGCCAAAGAAAGGACCATCCATCCATCTGCTTCTGAAGGGTCACAGTCTTGAAAACCCGATGGGGTCCAGCTCCACTCTGATGTGCGTGGGGTCTTCATGAGTTGGACTCGACTCCACACCAGCTGGTTTTGATTTGGTTTGGTAGTCATTAAAGGACTTGTCCCATGAGGCTGTCTTTAAGGCTGGAGCAGTGGTGGTTGGGGGCTGCTTGTGATTCAGGCTTAGGCAATGGGAAAACTGGCTGGAAATGAATTGAAGGACTTCCCTCTCTTTGCCCTTGGCACATGGTTACAAGCAGTGATAAACTTATCCTTCCAGTTTTGAGTTATTGCAGTTTGTTCCTTCAAAGAAGGGGAGGAGTAACTTATCAGGGACTGGGTTGGGCTGGACAGTCCAAAAGGGATCCAGAAAGAATCCTAGGGCTCAAGTTCACTTACTAAATGAGGAACCTTGGACAAGTTGCTCAACCACGTGGGCTTCAGTTTCCTCATCTGTACAAGAGGGATGATGAGATAAAGGGTACCTTGTGGCCGGCACATACTGGAGATAAACGGTGTCTAGTCCCTACCCCACTCCCCTTACTTCCCAGGACTGCCCCTAAGTAACCAAGCAACCAGTTCTGTTTCTCATGAAATGAAGGTGTACCATGATCCCCAAAGGGCCTTCTAGATTGTGTTCTATGGCAGAAAAGTCCTAATTTCACAACTCCTCTTTGACTCAATGCCTGTGGTCAGTACCTCCTGGTTGCTCTCAAATACACCACAGACCCTGTTGGCCTCTGAGGAATACTTCCAGAACACACCAGCCAGCCCTTTCCCACACCTGTCCTGACGTGGGAGCAGCCCTGGGGTCCTCAGCCCTGTTTCCAGTTGGGGTAGGACCTCTCAGAAGTCAAAGGGTTAGGAACAACCCAGGACCTTCTCTCCATGTCCCAGCTGGCCATGATTTGATGCCGTCGCACTGAGGATGCCAGCCAGCTTTTTCCTGTAATCAGAATGGTTGGTTAAGGAGAGAATCAACGTTTTACTCAACCAGTACAAAAACCAGTTGCCATAGATTCATTTCCAACTCACTCCCATATGTGTCAATAGAACTGCTCCAATGGGTTTTCAGGAGCTGATTTTGGGGGAGTAGATTGCTAGCCCTTTCTACCAAGTTTGGACATGAAGCTCCAAACTCTAAGTTAGCAGAGTGTTAGCCATTTATGCCATGCAGGAACTCTTCCTCCTTAAAAAAAGGAAGATGAGAAAACTAATGCTTACTATGTACCAGGCACTTTAAATGTACTATGTAATAAACGAAACCAAATCCACTGCCATCAAGTTGATTCCAACTCATGGCAACCTCCATTGAGTTTCCACAGCAGTAAATCTACGGAAGTAGGTTGCCCCGTCTTCCTTCCACTAGGCAGCTGGTAGGTTTGAGCTGCCAACCTTCTGCTTAGCAGACAAATGCCTTAGGCACTGCACCACCAGAACTATACTGTATGTACTTGTACTATATAATAATACTATATAATAACGCTAAACCAAAAAAAACAAACTTGCTGCTGTCAAGTTGGATCCGACTCATAGCGAACCCTCCTTGGGTTTCCCAGGCAGTATCACTACAGAAGTAGATTGCCCAACCTTCCTTCCAAGGAGTGGCTGGTGGGTTTGAATCACTAGCCTTCTGGTTAGCAGTCAAATGCCTTAGGTGTTACACTACTAGAGCTCCCTATTATATATATATATATATATATAATAACCCTATAAATATCTTTTTAAAAATCTTAACTATTTATCCAAAATCCTTTTTTTGGAATAAGGTAGGGTTAACATAAAGAATTATTCTTTAAGTTATTTTTCCCTTTTATAGGTGGAATATTGTTGGGAAGGGTGTGGGCAAAGTGACCTACCAATGTCGTGTAGTTGGAGGCCTAGCTGACTTTAGAATTGAGGTCTCTGCCCTCCCACTTCAGGCCTGTTCCCCACAGCCTAGCCGGCCCCTCTGAATACTGTTCACTGGAAAACTCCACACGTACACTACAATGTGCACGACACCCCTGGATTTGTGCAACTTTTTGGTAGCCCTGTCATTGGAACCCTGGAAATTTGTTCTCTAGGTCCTCAGGCTGAGCTAGGGAAAGCCAGGTGTACCATAAACATCTTCTTACAAAATGCCCAGCATCCTACAAAGACAACTGACCACAGAAAACAGCCTGGGTGAAAGTTTTAAAAGGACCAAGGCTATGAACCCAATGAAATCATAGAAATGAGCAAGTAACAGAAGTGACCTGGAGAAAAGGATGGCACACCTCACAGAGAACTCCAGAGCCTGCCATCTGGAGATTCTCAGGCATAAGTGCTGAAATATTTGAATTCCATTTTTATCCCATTTTACTCTTTCCTTTTCCAGCTCAGAAGCAGAAACATGGAGTGAAGATCAGATGCCACTTTCCTATCCAGCAAAGTCTGTGTCAAACCCTGTGATCCCTTCCTTCCAATCAGAGAAGAGTTACCCTGGCAACCAAATTACTAACTCACTCAATTAGCTCCCTCCTATTCCACCAATGCTCAGTAATCACAGAATGTCAGCCCCGGGAGAGCTCAGGCTTTGGCAGTCTAGTGCTCCCGCCCTCATTTACAGATGAGGAGCTGGAAGCTCCCCACTCAGAGGTCACTCCACTCCAACACCATGAAAGCTGATGCAGGCAAAGGCAGCAAAACTCTCCCGTGCGGAGCTTCCTCATGCTTGTCCCTCCGTCATTGAAGTGACCTGCCCATAATAGCATTTCCCAGAAGACATAATAGACAGGAACGTGGGCTCTGTAGGCAGCTCTCCATTATTAGCTGTGTAACCTGGACAAGCTCAGTTAACTCATCAACAAAATGGGGATAAGAATAGAGCCCACCTTGAAGGATGATATGAAGAGTAAATTAGATAGTATATGAGAAGCAAATAGTAAACACAATATAATACCATTCCTGGAAGCTACTGCACAAAGGCCATTACTTTGCATCTTCAGTAAAAAATAAACCAAACTCACTGCC